TGAGGAAAAGACAAAAACTTTCATCTTAGTGAGGAGGCGGGGCTGACCCCGTTGCTAGATGACAGAGTCTTTTGAAGACTGTGATTGGTTGGATGTCCAAGAAGGAAAAAAAGGGTGCTTTTAAGTAGGGTCTATTATAAGCTTTCACTTTGAAATTACAGGCATACTTTTTCCTGTTTTACCATACTCGATCTCTCTCTCCCTCTCTCTCCCACACAGAGACACACAGACGCACACACAGACACAGACATGCACACACACACACACACACACACACGCGCACACACAGAGACGAGAGGAAATAAAGCTACTGACGACATTAAAGCCAACAGAGATTCGCTCTCCTCCATCCCTCATCCTCCAGTCTTCATTTCTGTCCTCTTTTCTCTGGTTCTCCTGGTGTCTTACTCTTTTATTTTACTCTTCTGTCGCTTCAGAATCTCACAACGTTTCATTCTCTTCTAAACAACTGTCTAACACGCCTGATCTCTGTTTGCATATGAACAGAAATGTTACTTTAAATCTTAATGTTTAATGACCAGTAAGCTGTCTTTTCAATCTCTTAAATAAAGTCCTAAACAAACTTTATATTTCAACACCCAAGTCGTGGTTAAAAATGTATGGATTTCACTGCACAGATTAATTCTCAGATCTCACTTGAGTTCTGAATGCATCAGTTGGTGTTTTGGTGAATGTCTGAAGTCATAGAGGTGCAGTGATCGTTCAGAAACACAAACAGGATCAACAACTAAAAATAAAGGTTTCCAGAAGTTTTTTTTTTTTTCCACTTTCAGTGATCAGTTCTTAAAAGAACCATTTTTTTTTTCTTAATCTGAAGAACATTTTAATCGTTTTAAGAACCTTTTGTGCGATGGAAAGGTTCATGGATATTAAAGCTTCTTCATGGAACGACAGATGACAATACATAAGCTTTATTTTTAAGAGTAATGTTTCCTAACTTTTTGACAACCAGAAGGCATCCAAATACTTTTTGTCTTCTTTTTGAGATTTCTGAGATTGAGATGTATTGTCTTATCTGTTTTACCTCATTTACATCATTTTTTGGAACTGTTTTGCTTGTGACATATTTATTTAAAATGAACGCCACTTGGTAGATGTTGTTGTATAATGCAATGATATTCATACATTTGTAAGACTTAGATCTCCAAAGACTTTTAAAGTCACTGCACTGATTCCTGTAGAACACCATTACAATCAGCACTGAGATAAAAACATATCTATTCTACACTGAAAAACATGATGCTATTTTTTTTTAAGGTAAGTGGTTGCAAAAAAATTATTTTCGCTACATATAATAAAAATAAAAAAATAAAAATATGTTGAAAGTTAGTCAACTAAATTTGTTTATTTAAATGTAGCTAAAATAAATAGATTGCAACCACTTACCTTTAAAAAAAAAAGTGTAAATTCAATGAACCATTATTTGTGACCCTGGACCACAAAACCAGTCATAAGGGTCAATTTCTCAGTGTATCGTCTGGGTCCTGTAGTCGTCTCAGACGTGTTTCTGAGCAGGCGAGACTCTTCTACTCTTCATCATTTCTCCTCTACAGTGTGTGAGTGCACTGACCTGTGCTCTCTGCTCTCTTATTAAAGCATGTTTCTAGAACAGTCTCTGTGTGTCTGCTCTCTCTCTCCTGAGCCCGTCTGACAGAAACACAAACGCATTTCCAGCAAACACTCATATGCGACGCTCCTGGGGATCCGCAGGTACTTCAAGAGAGCTTTGCTTCAATAGCTACAGAATGACTGAAAATACATACGCCAGTTCATAATGAGCTGCTGTGGAGAGCATTCTCAGTTTGACAGTGTAAAGGGATGAAGGACACACAACATGGTTCATGTCATGGAGAATTTAGTCTAAGAATAAATGCATGACAGTTGGGATTTTCTTGCAGATTTACAGCAATCCTTATTAACTTTTGTAATCTTTTAAATGGACAGTTAAGCCAAAAAATGAAAATGATGTTGTCATTTACTCACAATCGTGCCATTTTAAACATTTTGCATTTTGATACGGCATATTAAAAAAATGTGCATGAATGAGATTTGAGCTTAGTACATGTCTATTAGCTTTTGAGGTCATCTACACTACTGTTTGGGATTAGTGCTTTTTTGAAGGAAATTAATACTTTTACTCATCAGGGATGCATTATATTGCATCAAAAGTGACAGTAAAGATTTATAATGTTACAGTAGATTTCAAATAAATGCTGTTCTTTAGAACTTTCTGTTCATCTGTGAATCCTGAAAAATAAAATGTATCAAGGTTTCCACAAAAATATTGTGCAGCACAACTGTTTTCAACATTGATAATAATCAGAAATGTTTCTCGAGCAGCAAATCAGCATATTAGCATGATTTCTGAAGATCATGTGACACTGAAGACTGGAGTAATGATGCTGAAAATACAGCTGCGCATCACATAAATAAATTACAGTTTAACAGATATTCACATAGAAAACAGCTGTTTTAATTTGTGAAAATATTTTAAACATTTTCAGATTTTTCCGTATTTTTTATCAAATAAATGCAGCCTTGGTGAGCAGAAGAGACTTAACATTAACATTAAAACATGTTACTGACCCCGAACTATTGAACAGTAGTGTATTTAGTGTACTCTTAAAATCTTTTAGCATATTCAAGATTAGCTCTATGATATATATATATATTTCCCCCAAAGTCGACCAGCCTCTTTCCCAATTAACTCTCACTGTATGGAAAAGAACAGCCGAAGACATTCAGCAAAATAATGACATTAAAGTGAGTAAATGATGACAAATTTCATTTTTGGAGGCGGAACTGTCCCTTTAAGGTTTGAAAGATCACAAAAAGCGTGTCAGAGAGGAAACGATAAATAAAAAATAAAAACAAAATAAAAGTCTTAGCTGTAGCGTTGAAAACAACACGACAATACATGAAGGTAAATCAATCACACAGGCTTTATATCTGTACCACAACTGTGTCAGGCATCAGGCTTTAAACAAACACACTGAGAGAGAAAAAACTAAAAAGAAACTGGACACAAAAGAAACTGGATGATGGCAAACAAGGAAAACCAGAGGTCAGAGGAAGGGTCAGGACAAATCTGCGCTCTGATTGGCTGAACTGCTCTAAATGGTTTCCATGGCAAACAGCGTCCAATCAGAGTTTTCGGACGGGGACAATCGCAAAGAAACGTAAGGTCAGATATATGACTCACACACACACACACACACACACACACACACACTCTCACACACACACACACACACACACGGTGAGAACTCTCCATAATAAATTACAGCTACTAAACATTCATCGAGAACAGAACGACAGCGTTCTCCATTTGTTTTCTTTTTTAAACCATGCATTTACAGTATAAGGCATTAACCAAACAGAGTCACAACAGCATAGAAATGAAGGTCTGATTGCGATCGGGAGAAGAAGAAGCTATTCTCGAACCAAAAGGCAAAACCTGCAGGGAATTTGAGACGGAAAGAGTTAAACCGATCGATATCTGCAACGTCACTGTACCTTATCGACCGGCGGATGGACGAACGAAATTGATTTTCTGAGGTAGACAATACAGGAATATTTCATTCTCCTTGGTCAAGATCACTCTAAACTCTGGTGTATAAAGTGACTCTCTCTGAACGTTAAATTAAAAGGTCCTTTTTCACGCTGTTCTGCATAGCCGCCTGTCCAAGTGCACTTAAATGGCACCATCCATCTCTTCTCCTCTCACTCTGCGCTATTACTGCTATTTTAAGGGACTTAATGAATCTGTCTGCGTAGCGATTGCTCTTTACATCTGTGGGTCTAACTGGAAAATGCCGAACGCTCGATTTCAGTCTTCTGGGGTTTATTTTTCTGTATGATCTGAAAATGTTCACTCTTAACGATTAATATTTCACCGAACCCAACTGACTGACAATACCGTCACAGAAAGTCCAGACGATGAGGTTTCGCTACAGTACGATTCAGTGTCTTTGTTCATTTACTGTGGCGTTTTGATGTCCGAGAACGTCTAATGATTCACATGTCCAGAAATCGTAACTATAAACATCCGAATAGTAAAGTCCGAGCGACGTTTCGGGTTTCTGTACAGTGTGTAACAGTGGAGATAAAGTGTGGGTGCAGGTCTAAGTTTAAAGATCCACTTATGGGAAGAAAATGGGTCTGGAATCATGAAGAAGGCATTTGAAGAACGTAATGCTGCAGAGAAACTGCTTTCCTCGAGATGAGACGAAGGAGGTGTCCAGGAGTCTCCCTTTTTGCCTTCGGGATCTCAGTAGCGCTTTAGTTTGTCGATGTCTTGTAAATGCTGAACAAATATCCTGGTTCGGCAGCGTTTCTGCCTCTATAGTGTCCGGATGGCCACGGGGTACAGCAAGGACATGTGCTCGGCCCCTTTGATTGGTAGTTTGCGGCTGGAGTAGAAGTGGATGATCTCGGGAACGCTGTCGAACAGGCAGCTGTTCTGACCCAGTACGTATTTGCTGTCTTTGGTCCTGGAGAGCTTCATGTGCATGAAGCCTTGACTGCTCCTGCAGAGAGAGAGAAGAGAACATGTAGATGAAGATGGAGAGCAGGGAGCGATTAACAAAGGTAGAGCAGCAGAGAGAGGGAGGTTAATGGGAAGAGGGGAAGAAAACAATCTGTGATTAGTTGTCAGAGAGCAGCACTCTGGTGCAGTTCATTAGCAAATGCATCACGCGTGGCAGTGAAATGTAGGGCTGGAGAGCGGCGAGCTTTAATGTGCGCAGCCGTACTGCCTTTTAAACGCTGTCGGGTTTCAATGGGGCTCTGAATGCAAAGCAAATTAAGAGCCAAGGAAGCCACACACCCCAGGCATTGTGCACTAAAACATGTGAAAATAAAATAAAAATAAAATAAAATAAAAAGTAAAAAACAGATTAAAAATAAAATAAAATAAAAATACAATTTAAATAGAATAAAAAAACAAATAAAAAGCAAAAACTGTAAAAAAAGTGAAATAAAAATAGTTAAGTAAAATAAAAAGTAAAATAAAACAAAATACAATAAAACAAAATAAAATAAAATACAAAAAATAAAGTAAAATAAACAAAATAAAATACAAAAGTAATAAAAAATAAAACTAAATTAAAAAAATCAATAAAACTAAAAGTATAATATAAAAATAAAACGAAAACAAAATGCAATAAAATATAATAATAAAATATAAACTAAATTATATATATATATATATATATAAACAAATTATCTTATTAGTTTCTATATTATATATTAGTTTACAAACATTAAATGCTTGTTAATGACTTAATTAAATTTATTATTTATAAGTATATCAGTTTAGGACTCCCATTGCTCTCCAGCTGATTAGCTGCCTTTCATTAATGACTCTTCATCATCATTAGAGAGACGAGAAAACATTTGAGCCGCACGAACCCCTGAGAGCCGTCAGCACCAACGCAAACACACAAAACACACTGCAGCTATTCCTCATCCAAACACACACACACACACACACACACACACACACACACACACACACACAC